ACGGGTCTCACGAAAAACCTTTGGTCTCACGTGAACCCAACCCTATATATATATATATATATATATATATATATATATATATATATATTTATATATATATATATATATTTATTTATTTATTTATTTATTTATTCTTTTGTGTCATTTAACTTATATGTTTTATATATATATTAAAAGAAAATGAAATGGTTAAAAAAACAGTAAATAAATAACATATAAAAACTGAATACAAGAGCCTATTTGAGTTCTAATAAAAACATATGACTGAACAAGAACTTATATCTCATAATAAAGGTTGTTATAATAAAGGTTATAAAAACCTCAATTGTGTGGACGTTGTAAGTTGCACTTCACAGTTCACATGCATAGTGAGGATCCAACCCACAAATGGACCTGCAACTTGCTTAACATTCAGTTTTGATGTTATTTCTAGTAATAAATGTAGAATCCAATCCTTGTCAGTAAACAGCTCCTATGATTCTAACCGTAACAGATGGATTAAGGATGCGTTTACTAAATGCTTACTCGGGTAAGTACTTATTAAATTAAATTACCTCACCGAATGAATATGACAAGAACCAAGAATCTTACCCGGTAAGTAATAACGATAACTCTTACCACAGTTAACACTTACTGGGTAAGTTGTTACATATGATGTCATTTTAGTAAACTAAAATCTCACCAGATAAATAAACGATAGTATTGAACTTTACCGTTAAGCGCTTACTAGGTAAGTGTTTTGGTAAACGGCCCCTTATTTTTATACATCTCCGACGAATTACTTGAGAGTTGACATGTATTCATATGATGGATAATTGAAAATTAGTATTTAATTGAGGATTTCCACAACTGAAAACAAAACAAGATGAAAAAGGTATATCATGATCAATACAACTGTACACAGATTTGAAGTTCATCCCTTCCAACCATAACCCATCCCCATCCCCATTCCCATTCCCATTCCCTCCTCCAATTCATCATTGTCAAAAAACCCGTTCCCCGTAAACTCGCTACCTATATCCTGAACAATATCATCACACAAATGTGCCACGTCGCTTGCCTTCTGATTCACGTTGCCGCCACCACCTGCAGAAGAGTCGCTGCGTGTAGCCCCTTTGAAACTGTTGCTTCTGGTCGGCACCGCTGGCGGCCGCGGTGAAGTCCCTGATGACGAAATCCCATATCTCAACCCCTCCCTGCCCATGCTCCCGCTAGCACCACTCTGCCCAGAAACAGACGGTTTTGCCCCTCCACCACCACCGCTGCCGCCACCATTATTCATATCTTGAAGCAGTTGCTGAATCATATGCTGTTGCAAGGCCTGACTGCTGCTGTTCGATGGCGACTGCTGATGGTTTTGTTGAACCTGAAACATAGGCCTCTGCTGGAGCATATTCGCTGAACTTTGAACCAGGTATCCATTTTGGCTCGAGTTATTGAAAGAAGACGAAGCTTCCTGTTGGGAGTTTGAATTCATCGAGTTTTGTCTCATTAGCATGTTCTGGTAGTTGGAGTGTGCAAGTGCAGCCTGGGCTGAACCACTTATCCCGGCTCCTTGGCTACCCATATGATGACTATTGTTGCTCAATGGACCATTGAGCCCGGGGTGCATTGACACCAACTTACTGAGCGCGTTTCGGTCTGCCGGGAGGCCCTGAATGCTAGATAGCTGTTCCATTTCCTGCATCTTTAGCATTTGTGATTTGGCTGCGCTTGTTTGCCGTGGAAAATTTTTCAATCCTTCTGAAAAAGAGTGAAAAAGATGATTCAATAGAGCTGGCTGTTCTCCAATGGAATATCCAAGAAAAGTGCATAAGGGTGCATTTGGTACACGAACGAGGGTGAGGTGGGTGGGCGAAAGAATTCTGGAAGGTTTTAGGGTTTTAACTCGACATGGCTAGTTTAGTAACTTACCAATCTTGTCTTGTCTCTTTGTTTTTGTTCCACCTATTATGGGCAGGACAGAAAAACGTACTTTTGTCCCACTCGGGTCCCTGTCCTCTCCCAGTCTAAATGTTACGCCAAGTAAGCGTGGGACAACAAGTTTCTGTACTGTCCTGTCCGGGATACCAAAAGCTCATAAAACCTATTCCTATACCAACCCAAGCCCCAGCCCTCTCATCTGATTATCCTAGCAAAGTTCGAGCCTAGTAGGACACGGAATTGATTTGATAGCTTGATCTAGCCTAAAAATGAGCCACATGCAATTGTCTAACTACCAAAGCTCGGATCGATGTATGGAAACAGACTTGATAGTTTAACTAAATGAGGTGAGCTTAAGGGGATGTTTACTAAGCGCTAACCGGGTCATTTATCTTACCGGATGAACATGACAAGTGCCTAGAATCTTACCTAGCAAGAGTAAGAGCGATGATTAGAATGGAGAGTCTTACCTGGTAACGTCTCCTTCCCGGTAAGGGATTACCGGGTAATTGTTGCATGCCATAACCTTTTTTGATGGACTATAATCTTACCTGGTTTTAGTAAGTTAAGAATGTTGACTCTTATCGTTATGCGCTTACCAGGTAAGCATTTGGGTGGCCGCCCCCTAAGTCTATCAAGGGCTACCAAGCAAATATAAAAGCTTGCATTGAGCTACTTATTGTAATTCATATTGTTAAATTAATCATAATTTTTCTCTAAAAAATTTAATTGCAGTTTTATTTAAAGGGTGGGTCTAACAGTTGAACAAGCTTTTATCCATGTATACAATACAAGCCAGGCTAGTGCTTTTGGGGCAAGTGAGCTCTCTTGAGTTGGTGAGCCACAAGCAGAGCCTGGTTCACAAAATTTTCACAAGCCAAGCAGTCGTGGACTCAAATATGAATTTTTAAAAAAGACCAACAAACACATTAGATCGTTACCGATAGGTCCAGCTTTAGTATCTCGACAGAAATCCATCAAGTCTTTCATGCTATTGACAACTTCAGATATCTAGTAGAAATCCAGGTAGCAAATAGTCAGTATCCTGCGATCCCGCTAAAACAATAACAGAATTGACAAAAAACCAAGATTCAAAAACAGGAAATAAGAACGTTGTTACCTGTAAGCACCTAACGTATCTTTTAGAAAAACCCAAGTCATTCAATGATTGCAACTCTAAGCTCCTTGCAAGCTGCCGCCCGGCCGTCACAACCCTGCAGCACACCAGACAATTAGTCACAGGATATGTCGAGAATCTCCAAGCTTTAATCACAAGCAGCGAGTTTTAACATTATTTTGGGAGACAAAAACAATGCTTAACACTCACATATTGCTATTCGTCTGCAAATCTTGCTGGGAGATCCCATCAGAACCACTTTCAGCAATTGTTGATTGGCATTTTTGTGCAACTTGTAACAACTGATTTACCTGCAAACGGGTAAAAAAGAAAGATAAAGAACACAATAAATGGATTTATAAATTCATTCGTCAAGTTCTTGGTAAAGAATGTAAAATGTGTACCTGAGGTGCAACCAATCTACGGGGAAGAAGCTCCTCATGCCGTCGTGCACAGAATTCCCATGTCAATATCTGAAGAGACACATGCATACAAGTTACAAACAATGTATCGCCTAGGGGTATACAAATACTCAAAAAGTGGTTTGATCAAATTAGAACTGGCCGACCAGAACTGGATATCTAATAGCAATTGGATCGGATCCAAAATTTCAACATTCAAATTGGATTGGTAAGCTCTTGGGTGGCAGTCCAGAATGTAATAAAACCGAACTGCTCCAATCCAATTATCATCCAATTAATAAATATATATAACTATATAATACTTTCTGCTTGATATTTGTAAGTAGTGGTTTTAAGAAAATTAGGAAAATACATGACTAATTAGTTGAAATGAAGGATTAATTGGTCGGAATATTATATCATCAAATCCGATCCAATGGATAACCAATAATAATATCCAATGGATGGAAATGATTCCATTGGATCAAAATCCAACATCCAATAGATGATTGGATCAGATCGCTTCCGCCTAATCCATTGGATTTTAACTGATGAACACCTCTGAATTATCACAGACCAAGAAATACAATACACTATAGAAACGTTGGATCAACCTTTAAGTCGGGGGTGAAAATAACTTTGAGCTGACCCTCACGAACTACACGAAGTTGCTCGTATATACTTTCTTGGACAGCTTGCCCGTACTCCAAAACCATTATTCCAGAAGGAAATCTATATTCCCGGGGCAAGTCCAGAAACAAAAGCTCGTCGATAACACCGCTACCGAATTTGATTTCACTAAGTCTTGGCAGTACCTCAAAAGTTGCCTCTGTTAATGCAAAAGGGTGGAATGAAATCCAGATATTCAAAGACAATTTACACTAGTACAAAAATGTAAATATAGAAACAAAACATAACCACAACTAAAGAGATATTGAAAGCAATACTCAATGTATGTAGCTTATGAATTGTGAATTACATACCGAAGCCCCTTCCAGATTTTGACCCACAAATATCACACTGCCATGCATCCTATAAATCAAGTCCATAGAAACTTGTGAGGAGATTCTATTGTAAAAAAGAAATAGCACATCCCTATAGAAGAGTATGGAAATCTCAATCCAGCAGAAACAACAATGGCAACGGGAATACAAACAAACAAAAAAGAACAACACACAACAATTAAATGGTTTAGTTAAGAAGTGAGCAACTCTACAGCCACATTAGCGAGTCAATCTTATTGATTCAGCTTCAACTTATGGTTTTACAATTACAGGGTATTTATAAGTGTAAACGGGCCTAAATTTTCTTGAGCCATGGGACGCAGCTTCATGAATGACAGGCAACGTAACCTCAACTACAGGATTAATAAGATGACAAACATAACATATGTTTTCCACACATAAATGTTAGGGCAGGTTGAACTGTAATATTTTGAGAACCTCGGTACCAACTATTCATGTTTTATTCATGATGAATGTCGTGACAGATATTCATGAATATTCAGGGTTGTTCATCATGAATAATACATGAAATAGTTGGTCCCACATTTCCAAAATATATATGGTTTTCATTTGAACTTTCTCCGATAAATGTATATCTACAGAAAAAGCACCCAAAAAGCAGGATAACAGAAAATGTGATACGGAAACAAGATGCTCAACTAGAAAAGTGACTCTTATCATCATGTTCATAATACATAAACAGAAATAAACAAACATACCATAGCTGCTTGCGGAAATACACCCAATGAGTGATGCCCTACATTATCATACAAGGACAAGCACCACCTTTTCTTTGCACGTGGAGAATAGTACTCGGCCACAAACTTCCTCCAGTAGGAAATACCGTTGTCCTATACATATTTAAACCACAAATGAAATTAGAGTCATCCATTCATTGCAATAAGAAATGTAACTATAATAAGAAGGCAAGCCAAACAAACACAGCAGAAACATTTAAGGTGCATTTGGTATGCAAACGAGACTAGACAGGACTAAACGGGTGAGAGTAAGGTAGGTGGGTGAAAGAATTCTGGAAGACTATAGGGTTTTGATTTGACAAGGGTAGTTTAGTGATTTACCAAATCTAGTCTCGTCTCCATGATTTTTGTTCCACCGATTTTGGTTGGACATAAAAAATGCATTTTTGCCACTAAGATATTGTCCTGTCATGATCTAATGTTGAACCAAACATGGGACCACAATTTGCATTGTCCTGTCCCACATACAAAATGCACCCTTGAAAAGAAACAAGAATAGAAAAGTGACACTGAATTCTTGATAATCATACTCACAGGTGGCCGTTGGCGCTGATGATACAAGTATTGCATCAGTCTTCGTGAGCATACACCCCCATCGTAGGGTCGTTTAACAGCAGCCGCAGGTTGCAAGCTCTGCTGTTGTAATTGTTGCCTCAACTGCAACTGCTGCTGCTGCTGAAGCAAATGTGCTCGTTGAACAGGCGGCAGAGAGTGCAGCAACTGCTGTTGCTGTTGTTGCTGTTGGCGTAGTCTCTGTTGCTGAATCAAAGTTTGTAACTGGGGATTTGGGCTTTGTAACTGCATTGAATCTTGTCTTTGCAAAATCTGTTGCAAAACCTGTTGTTGCATCATGTCTTCCTGCTTGATATCTAACCGAGGTTTCTTTTGCAAGTGGGATATATTATCATTATCTTGAATGAACGATCCAGGAACTCTTGAGCCATTTGGCAGTGAAACTTGGCCAATTCGTGGGGGTGGCAACGATGTGGCGGTAGAAGCTCCTTGACGAGGACCCGGCTGCTGCTGCACTTGTTGCAAGTGTGGATCTTGATTGGAGCTCTGCTGCAATGCCGATGGCCCATCTATAACAGAAGAGCCTGAAATGCTTATATTATTGGAGGAGAACGATAAGGGTGATGCAGGCAATCGCATATAAGATTCATTGTTGGCACTTGCACTTCTTTGAAGACGAGGACCACCTCCTGAAAGCCCCGAGTTAGCATCAGTAACCAATGAACTTGCCCCAATACTAGGTCCCGAACTCATGACAGTATTGCTTATGTCCCCAGAGATAGGTACCATGTTCGGACGCATGTTTCCAGGAATTGAATTTGCAGAGTTCCCAAAAGAGCCCAAATGTGAATTACCTAGAGCCTGAGACTGCATATCTCCTTGGAAAAAGATGCCGGAACTCGATGATGAATGTACCATCCCGACACCGGCCCGAGAAGGCCCCATCCGGGGTAGAGCCGATTGCTGGCTCGAATCCAAGTAGTTTTCCAGCGCCAGATTTTTCAGACTATTCTCGTGATCAATTACAAACAGATACTAAAATTGGATCTGTTCAATGCCCCCAAGAGAGGCTGATTTTTTCCACCTTAAACAAATTATACCCAAGGCTAGAATCTTACATCACCAACCTCAAAGATGTTTCTAGTTTGAGATTCCAAGCTTAGAATGGAGTTGTTAGCTTGAAGAGTTCACAGACGAAAAGAATTAAGAAAGGAAAAACATCAGCAGTTCTTCATACAAGACCTGTAATCAAGAACCATTAACAACGCAGATCAATACTAACAACACAGAATAAAACAAGATTTCTTAAGATCAGAGCAACAATTACCACAAAAACCCTAACTTGATTGGAGAAAAACCTAATTTAGAACATATCAGCTAGCCAAATAAAAGCGGAACACCGAATTTCCCCGAAATTACCTCCTAAGAAAGCGTAATAGCAACGAAAACCACCAAGTTAACAGCTAAGACTCATAAATTCAGAAGGTCACAAGAAACCTTATCACATTCATTGAAAACCGTAAAAATAGATCAAATCTCTACAAATAACGCTTCCGTAAATTACGAAAAGGGGGGATACGTAGAAACCCATCAAACCCTACTACGTGAAATCAGAAGAAAGTTGAGGTTGAATTCAAAATTTGAAAGCAATAAACAAAGATCTGATTTTTGCACTGTTTAAGCATTTGATCAAATAGTTAAACCAAACGGCGATGAAGAATTCCTCAAATTTAGCGAAATTAAAGAGAAGATAAAACATTACTAACCAATAAATCAGCAAACCTTCCAAATTAATTCTGAAGAACCATCAACACGGAGCTCAAAATTTTGGTAGTGTTCGATCGGAGTTTATGTATCTAGCGGGAATCGGAGAGGGGAGAGTGACCGGGAGTGCCGGTGGATAGCCCTACCTGACTGGCTGTAGCCGGTTTGTGCTGGGGACGCGTGTGATCTGATAGATCGGGCGGTGATCAGGTGCATTGAAAACACGTGTCAAAATCTGATCCAATCGATGGATGGCTCTTTGACAGGGTAGGTCTTGAGAGGAATTATCTGGTACAGCCGTCATTTGGGTTAAAACGGAAACAACTAACTCGGTGGGACTGAGTTCAACTCGTTTTCTCTGGCCCAAGACAAAGAAAAAGTTGAAAGATAATAGACCGAGTCGGTCAGAGGTCGGTCTTTTGACTTTACTTTACCACCAATTTACATAAATAGTCCCCATACAATTTGTTGTTTGGCATGTTTGCTCTATTGAAAAAGTAGTTTAAAATTTTGATCCTTGAGGTAGCGTTTGGTACGTAGAAAGGACTGAACAGGACTGAACTGGACAGGACAGGACATGACAAGAAGGTAGGACTAGACATGACTGGACGGGACAAAACTAGACATAACAGAAGTATGTCTGGTGTTTGGTACGATTGGGACTGGACGGGACAGAACTAGACAAGCTACCCCCAAAAGTTATTTAATAATTTTAAATATTATATAATAGTTATAATTAACACAAATAAAGTAAATAATTGAATAATTTAATTTCTAAATATTTGTACATAGTTTTCATATTTATACCATATTTGAATGAAATTTTTTATATGATTGATGGTAGTAGCGGTGATGACCATTTAAACAAATATCATATTAAGATTATATATCAAACTATGGTAGATTAGTAATATTTTAGTTTATGTCTCATTCTTGTCCCATCTTGTTCCACCTATTTTGGTGGAACAAGAAAAAACCTATTTTGTCTCATGTTGTCCCACCTTGTCCCAGTTCTTGTCTCTGTCCCATGTCGCGCCAAACGTGGGATAGTGAGTTCTTGTTCTGTCTCATGCTGCGCCAAACATGGGACAGTGGGTTTTGTCCCATCCTATGTACCAAACGCAGCCTGAGGGAAAAAATTTGTGTCACTCGAGTCCGACATTATCTCTAGTAAAATAACGTTTTAAAATTTTCATTGTTATGTTGATTCAAACACTAACCACCGTAGTCATTTCTGTTTAAATCATTGTAGATAGCAACACCTCATGATGGCATCAACTTTTACTTCTTCAGCCTTACATTTCTTTCGTATGTTAAATTTCATCTACAACAATATGTTTTTTTTTTTCTTGTTTCTTTAATATTATTGATATTAATTAAGGGTAGATCCAAGACTTTAGTTATCCATCTTTGAAAATAGGGTTGTAAAGAAGCAAACATTCAACAAGAAGTTCATTTATTTAATAAAAGAATGAACATGAACACAAGTTTTTGTTCGTTTAGTTAAATGATCGAACATGAACAATGGTCTTGTTCATTCATTTACGTTTGTTAATGTTCGTTTACATTTGTTTATATTCATATAAATATATTCAGATATTATGATACTAATTTGTAAAATCAGTATTCAATTAAATTTTTAGAATTCTCTTTTATTATTCCTAAGTTTACTCGGTTTTTCATTTAGTTATGTTATTTTGAATAACGAAATGATGAGTAAAAGTAATTGTTTTTTGTTTATATGTGTTCGTTTTCGTAGCATAGATCTTTTTTCTCTTAAAAGATTTTGAAAAGTGAGTGTGCTTCCGAAAGTTTCACCTTTTCGATCTTTCTTCTCTTAGCGCACAAGCACTAAGCAAGTAGACTGCCTTTTTTATTTTATTTCATCTCAGCCTCTTCTTTTTTTTTTAAATATATAATCCAGATATCTTCGATAGACTACATTAAAGGAAAGTGGTAAGTGCAGAAGATGCTTAGAAATGATAGTAACACCTCGACCTTCGAAATACCAAATCCCAGCTTAAGTCTAAAAGACCTACTCTTTAACTAGAAACAGAAAGGTTTGAGTGTTCATTCATTTACGTTTATTTACATTCGTTTAGCATGTCAATGAACGAACATAAGCGAACAAGACCAAACACATTTTTTTCACGAACGAACATAAACATAAGAAAATTCGTTCGTGTTCATTCAGTTAAATTAAACAAACGAGCATGAACAACCCTTTGTTCGTATTTGCTCGGTTCATTTACAACCCTATTTGAAACTGAACATTTGTTTCAGGACAAATACATAAAGGTATATGGACGTTTATTTTGGGATGGAGTGAGACTTTTTTTCTTTAAAAATCAAAAAGACATTATTGGAATTAGTGAACTAGGTAATACAAGAAAAAATTATCCAAAAATATAGAAAAGTTCTTAAGGGACTAAACATAGAAATCGAGAATAGTTAAAGGAAACATTTTGTAATTTGGTCCTACTTTATTGAGTAAATTACAAATTTCGTCCTTGTGCTTATTGAATTTTTTTGAGTTAGGTCCCTCGAATGAAATAATTACGTGTATAGTCATTATGTTTTTATTTTTGTTTTGGATTGGGTCCCTTACCCTAACTCTACTAACTAATATTACGTTAAATTTGAGAATAATATTGTTTTTATTTTTTACAATTTTTATTAATTTTCTTTTTTAAGAGTGTAAATTAGAAAATTTGTTTGTGTACCTTGTATGAAAGTTGCATACCGAAGCATATACAATCAAATATATATATATATATATATATATAGAGAGAGAGAGAGAGAGAGAGAGGTGAGTTATTATAGAACCATTTACATTTGTACAACCAATACAACCCAATCTCAATCGTCCATTTAATTTGATGAATATGTGATTTTATAGAAGTTTTGGTTGTTTCTTAATATAAAGTATTGATCATAATTAATGAACTATATTCATCTTCCATAAATATTCAAATCATAATAAATGAACTCTTATCATTTCCATAAATATCTCAATTTATTGGGTTGCATTTGTTGTACTGAGTTGTATTTGAAACGAACTATATATATATATATATATATATATATACTATATTATAAAACATTTGACAAAAACTCTTAAAACGATTTTTTATGCATGAAGTATTGTTTATTGATGCATAGTACTTAAAATTTAAGATTACAAGTAAATTGTGCATAAGTACAGCTTATTAAAGCTTCATACTTGAATTTGGCTATCTAACTGTAGATAAACATAATCAAATATTGAATAAACATCTCATTTTAAATATAAAAAATCTAAAATATAATTATTATTTTTATAAAATATTATACTATTAAACCAAAAATAAATTATTTCATTATTAAACTTAAATTAAATTATAATANAATTATTATTTTTATAAAATATTATACTATTAAACCAAAAATAAATTATTTCATTATTAAACTTAAATTAAATTATAATAAAAAATAAATTAAAGAAATTACATAAAAAATGAGAACTTTTAAATAGTTGATTTGATATTAACATTAATATATTTTTTTTCAAAATTTTATAATATCTTCAAATCATTATTGTTTAAAAATAAAATCATTATTGTTTTTTTAAAAAAACACATAAAATCGTATTATAATATCGACAGGGACAAAGAATAAAATAGAACATTAAAATCGAAATGTGTCTCGCTGCATTGCACTAGTAGTCTTCTAGTATACTAGAAGGGTACTCGTGCACCGAGATACATCTTCATTTTAATGTTTTGTTTTATTTTTAGTCCCTGTTGATAAAATACAGTTATGTGGTTTTGAGAAACATAATGTTTTTACTTTTGAATAAAAATAAATATGAACATATCATAAAATTTTGAAAAAAATATATCGATATTAATATCAAATTAATTATTTAAAATTTTTATTTTTTAATATAATTTCTTTAATTCAAATTTTTATTATAATTTAAATTAAGTTTAATAGCAAAGTAATTTATATTTGGACTAGAAAGGTACTCGCACAATACAGCGAGATATATCTTCATTTTAATGTTTTGTTGTGTTTTTTGTCTCTATTGATATAATATGATTTATATGGTTTTGAGAAAATTAATGTTTTTACTTTTGAATAAAAATAAATTTAAGGACATCATGAAATTTGAAAAAATATATCGATGTTAATATCAAATTAACTATTTAAAAGTTTTCATTTTTTTGTACAATTTTTTTAATTCAATTTTTTTATTATACTTTAATTTAAGTCAAATAGTGAAGTAATTTATTTTTGGCTTAACAATAAATTTTTTATAAAGATAATGATTATCTTAATTATATTTTAAATTTTTTATATTTAAAATGAGATGTTTATTCAATATTTGATTATGTTTATCTGCAGTTAGTTATACGAATTCAAAAATGGAGTTTTAATAAGTTGTACTTACGTATAATTTACTTGTAATCTTAAACTTTAAGTAGTATGCATTAATACATAGTACTTAATGCATAAAAAATGGTTTTTAAGAGTTTTTATAAAATGTTTTATAATATAGTATAGATTAACAATATAATATCTATACTATATTATAAAGCATTTGGTCCAATCTCTTAAAACCAACTTTTAAAGCATTATGTACTGTTTATTGATGCCTATTACTTAAAGTTCAAGATTACAAGTAAATTATTCGTATGTGCAACTTATTAAAGCTCCATGTTTGAATTTGAGTAACTAACTACAGGTAAACATAAACAAATTCTGGATAACTATCTTATTTTAAATATAAAAAATCTAAAATATATTTAGGATAATCATTAAATTTAAAATACTAAATATCTATACTACTTAATAAAGCAGAAAGTCCCAAAGTCTTAAAGTATTAACTTTTTAATACCCAAAATACCTTTACACTTCCTTTACACTCCCCTCTCCCAAAATTCCTTTACACGCCTCCCCCAAGATTCCTTTACACGCCTCCCCTCCCCCAAGATGCCTCTTCCCCAAGAGCACTCTTCCCCTTATCGGCTCCCCTCCCCCAACAACTCAAAGCTTCAAATTATCACTGCTATGTTGATTTAAGTTCCCAGACACGCTTCCA